CCGAGGCGAGCTGGGCGTGTGCAGCCGTGGGAGCCCGAAGCCCGGCCGGCCGGCGGGTCCAGGGGCGTGTGGAGGCTCCAGGCGGACTGGGGCCAGAGCGTGGGGCGTCTTGGGGCTCCCCGAGCCCTTTTCCACTGGCAGAATCGCCCCGCACACGCAGCCTGCCGGCCGGGCGCCCAAGGAGCAGCCCGGGCCCACCCCTCCACTGAGGCCTGTGCCGCCGGCCACTGGCCGAGCCCTGTGCAGCCTCGCGTCTCCGGCAGACGGCCGGTGCGGCCTGGGCACCATGGTTCCTGTAGTCCCGCCTCCAAGCAACTCCGAGACGTGGCCAGCAGTCTTGGGGCGCGGCCGTGGGGCGCCCCGCTGCGGGCCGACCCTAGGCCCTCCTGAGCTGCAGGCGCTGGATGGACCCGGGGGGCTGAGCATGGTGCCCCGGCCGCGGGGTCTGCAGGCGGGCAGGCGGCCTCCCAGGGGCCTCGGACACAGGAGGCCCAGGGGCACGCCGGCTCCTCCCTCGGGGGATGCTGGCCTGTCGGAGGCTGACCCCGGCCTCGGGCTGTTGGGGGGCAGAACAGGCAGGATCCTAAGGTGGGAACAACGTCGGCGAGCAGAGATTCCAAAAACTGGGGGGCAAAGCGGAGCGGGCGCGAGGAAGACGCGGGAGCCGGGCGGGCACGGGGCTCTCAGCAGAGGTCGGCCTCACGCGGTTCCCGCAGGCGGCGGGACGTCAGCGGGCGACACGGGCGAGGGCACGATCACCTTTGTCCTGAGAACAGTCCGGGGTCGTTTTCACCTTTGGCTGAGATCATAGCAGTTTAAAAACCCATCTTTCGGGGTAACGCGGGTAACAGACGCCACGCCTAAGACTGACATCGCTGTTTGCCCCGGGGCCAGCCACGACCTGCCTCTTCGCGGCTCCTTCTCGCTGAGACGTCCTAGGGGTACAGTGAGGGCAGGAGGGGACATTTCTCGTAAATCAAATTACAGCCAAGTGCTTTGAAAACCAGTTGCAAAGTGGAAGTGAATTTCCCTGACGTCCAGCCGGCAGAAAACGTAAGGAGCTCCGACCAGGTTCCTCATCTGAGGACTAGAGAGTAGCATCCTGCAAACTAGTTAGAAAGCTCAAGTGAATTCCTCCGTAGTCGAGACAGCAGAAAACCTGACTGGCCCTGAAGAGGCGACTCGGAGAGTTCTGTCTGTGCAGGCCGGGGGCGGGCAGCTCGCGGGCTTCTCAGAGCCGAGCAGGGGGCGAGTGGGGTCGCAGAGCGCTGACACTCGGGCAGTAAAACTCGGATTATTTTTAACTTGTTCTAGTCCTGCCTTGTCTTACAATATCGATTTTGCCAGGACTGCGTCTAGGAACCAGCCAGTTGCAGGCTTTGTGGCCCGGGAGGACGCCCCCGGCCGGGCGGCGCTCGCTCGCCTGAGCCAGGCAGCGGCTGATGAGGCTGAGGCAGCCACAGGTGAAAACTGATGGTGGCTTGGAACACTTTGGCGACTGCGCGAAAAAGGGGGGCCGTAGCAGCAGTTAGCGTGGAAATGCTGATTCTCCAGAGCGCTCTGTCTCTACCCGGACGATGTCAGTCGACAGAGGTCGCAGAGCTGCGTCCCCGGCCTTCCGCACGGACGCCACCCGCCCGGTCCGCTGCGGCCGGAGCCGCCTGCAGCCAGCGTCCCGTCCCGGGGCTCTGTGGGGGGCCCCTCCTGGGGCGGCACTGGCGCTTCCCTGTCAGCACCACGGCGTCCCTGCACTCGGGCACGAGCTCGTCCCCTCTGTCACACTCTGGCATGAGCCCGCAGCGGTGAGGCTGGGCCGCAGGCGGGGAGGGCTGGGGGAGAACGGCTGCCCGGCCCCCCCGTCTGGAACATCTCCCCTGCGTGCCCGGGGCAGCCCATCAGAGCAGGGCGCATTGGTGACCACGCCTCACCCCTGGTTTCCCTGGAGCCCACTGCTCGGGGGTGTTGGGGAGGGGGTGCGGTCAGCACCTGGGGAGCCCCCTGGGACCGGGGCGGCCCCGGGGCGGGCTGGAGTGGCTCCCGAGGAGGCTCGGGCTGTGAGCAGCGGGAGGGCGTTTCCACACAGGGCCAGGTGGTGGGCGGGCACAGCCCTCGCGTCCAGCGGCAGGAGCTCCAGGCCCCGCACTGGCACGCCAGGCGGAGCGGGGGGCAAGGGTCTGAGGGCCCCTCCTGCCCCAGGCGCGTTCCTGGCGCAGCTCCCTGCAGAAGCGCCGCGCAGGAGAACCTCTGCCGGCTGGACAAGTCC